GGTCACTCCTGACTGGTGAGGAAGCCTGTCAATCATCCAATCGGCCAATCAGCGGGAGAAGAGGTAAGAATGGAGCCGATGACTAGGCTGTGACATCTGCTCCAGTCTTTCTGACCTCTTCTCCCGCTGATTGGCCGATTGGATGATGACAGGCTTCCTCACCAGTCACTCCTGACTGTTCCTCAGGTCAGAATGAAGCAGATGACAGAGGAGGTCGCGGCCATCTTGCTTGATTGAAGACGCGATGGAGGTCCTGTGTGCGGCGGATCCGGGTCCCTGAAGATGGCGGACGCAGCACAGGTACTCGTTTTATGTTTTGGAGTATTTGCACGAGTACGAGTACTCATGCAAATACTCGGTATCGCGGCCGATACCGATGCTTGTATCGGTATCGGTGCATCCCTAACCTGAACCATCCATTTTTTTTATAGCTAATCAGGTAGACCCTAGTTGTTGGTAAACATAATGGATATGGTACAAAAACTGCAAAGTGTGTGTGCAGCTTTACAACCTACTTAAGTGTAACAAATCTGTTCCAAATCATCCAATTATATTTTCCTACAACCACGTTTGAGTTTTTGAAATGGAATGGATCTTATTTGAGTCCAGAAACCATTAGATTTGTCTAGAGTTCACGTCTAAACTGTAGCATAAACAATCCAATCATATTATATCTAAATCTAAGTTCAACATAATTTAACACCACAATTCTATTTATTAATTAAAGACACACATTTGTTCATCACCCTTTAAGCCATCCATGTAGTGGGTGGGTAGTAAATGTTCCACAGCATGATGCACTGGGCTGTGGATGTGTTTATGAATGTTCTACTGCAGGACTGGTGGGGACATCATATTGATCACATAACATTATTTATAAACAAGCCGACGCTGGAAGGCTGAACTGTCATTATAACTCCCACAGAGAGAGGCACTTTAACAGAAGCAGTTGGCAGGCCCCAGCTACTAAAGTAAAAGGCAGATTTTTTATTGAAAATACATTATTACATTTAAATAATATATATAGTAAGCTGTTAAAATTAAATTTGTCAGCTTATAATACAAATCTTAATAGGATATCTTAAAAAAACAGTGGATACATTTTAAGAAATACAGTATACGTCCTTAAAAAATCAGCGTAAACATTTTTTAGGTAAGCAAATTAGTTATACAGTTGTATTCAAGTTAACTGGTGCATATTAGCTAAATATTAGACATGTGCACCAGCAAAAAAATTGTTTCTTTTTGATTTGGATTTTGCGTTATTTTGTTTTTTGAGATTCGAGTCCGAAAGTCAATTTTTTTCGGAATCCGGATTCAGATGAAATTCGTTAGCGGTAGTCATTTTGTTTTCCTTTGATTTGTTCGTTCGTTGCAGAAAAGTGACATTGAAGAGGAAAAAAAAAAGTTTGTTGTTTCTCAAATGTCACTTTGCTGCAACAAAATTTCTTCCAACAAACTAAAATCCGTACAGACTACCGTTAACGAATTTCGGAATCGGAAATTCGGATTAGTTTGCATTTGTTATATCTGTAATTCGGAATTCGGATACATCCGAATCTCCGAATTTCCAAAATTTCATCCGAATTTCGATTCGGCATCTAGGAATTAATCACCCCAGATTACAAAAAGTTTAATGATGAAAGTGCCTTTGTCCTCCACCCCAAACTAGATTTTTTTGAAGCTGTAGTTGGCAAGACAAAGAGCTACTGAGACATTAATGAATGACTGTTAAATGCTGAGAATTAGCAAATACCGGCATTACAAAGCCTGATATAACTGATATAGTGTACGTGGCCAGTCATATAGGCACAAAGTGACAAGACGTACACTGTACGTCTCCCGTCACGAAGGGGTTAATGGTGAATATTCTACTCTAACAAGGTAGATATAGTAGGAGAGAAATAAACATTATTTGTTGAATCTTCTCCGTGGTGTCTTCTTCTTCTTCCCTTGTACAGTTGAAAACTTAAATTTGTATATGTACATACTGTACATGCATGTGTACAGAGCACGGTACATGTTATGCTATATATGTTATGTGTTAGGGAGCATAATAGTTTTGAACAAAAAGTTGTCATAGCCTGAAAAAAGATTGGCAATGTTATTTAGGGGAACATTTATAAAGAAGTAAAATGTGACTTTTACACACATTCACTGCTGTTGAATCAATCATGTTCATTAAAAACACATGTGATAACACATGTGGTACCACATGATTTGTCTTCAAAAAACAATTCCTCATCTACTACTACCTGCAAAGAAATTGCCCACTGACCTCCCTGACCCTCTAAGTCACATTCCACAAATTGTCCTATTAATTATCTTACCATGGAAGCCTCGTACAGGATGTCAGCACCCTTTTTTCCAGCATTATTACAGCTATGCATTACTTACAACCCAACATATCTTTATTGCCATGAGATTATTTTTCCCCCACACCCTCAGCCTTATTTGCAATATCCTTTATTTGACCACCATATAATGTCAAGATGTGAGATTAAAGAATTAAAGAGATTAAAAAACATGCACCAGGAAGATTCATCTGCACTGAATATTTGGTAAATGTCAGACTCACTGATTTATATATATGCCCCTCAATGTTTATTTACTTATGCAATAATTCTGAAAAATTCCTACCTGTATTGTTTCCTTGCATCATATCCAACCGCATTTGACTCCCAAATTTTTGTTGCTAGGACTCGTACTGTGTTCAGGAATAGGATAAAATTAAGCTGAATGATAGAAAATGATTGTATTTTTTAATTTTTTAATAAAAACACCAAACATTAAGAAATTAGTATATATAT